GGGGCCGGGCCGGCGGGGACAGCTGCTGCTGCTGATGTCACAGGGTCATGAGTGAAACCTGAGGACTGGGCCAATCTTCAGGTGGGAGCCTCGGCCACACTTCCCTCACTGGGTGTGCTATGGACTCAGCCTGGGACCGCATGGGCTGGGGCCCACTGGCGGGGGTGTGACGCACTTGCCCACGCACGTGCACACACACGCACACTCACTGGGGCACACATACGAGCCCATACACGCAGTTGCTCTCCCTCCCATCACACAGCTCATTCTCATACTCGAATCTCCTTTCACACACTCATTTCCAGAAGCACTCCCATGGCACACACTGCTCACACACTCGCACACACTCTGGTATACACTCACGTATGCGTCCCTCCACACAAATGCTCACACTCACACACGCCCAGCCATACACATAAATCGCCCTTTATACATTCACACCAATTCTTCGGCTGTATGTTACACCATTCACACACACGTGTCCTCACACCTACAGACACACTTCACGCTCACATCAGGCTCGCGTGTACATATGTATTATTATATACATGTAGCCTTATGCAGTCTCCTGCCAGGTGAACACCAATGCACATCACGGACCACAGAGTTATCGAATATACATCTTGTGAACACACACGCACACCGCAGCCACGCTCGTGCCTTCGTGCCTTTCCATGCGTGTTACTTAATTCCACGCGGTTGTCTGTGCCCATATACACGCTCCTGTTCACATGTACAAGGGCCACCTATCTGTGTCTATGGTCACCAGGTTTCTATCAAGTGTATGCCTGTCTGAACACCCACACTCACACCTCACACACCCAAACACATCCACACTCACACATCACACACCCAAACACATCCACACTCACACACCCAAACACCCACATTCACACATCAAATATCTGAACACACACACAGCAGTCTTGAGGGTCATTTCTTTGCCACCACTCCCCCTATCCCACTGGCTAGACATCTGTCCCTCAGAGCTTGGGAAGGGGACCTGGCGGGGGGAGGAATGAGATTGGTCGAGCCATCCCATCCCTCCACTTTGGGGCTGTGGTGACCCCTAGTGGAGCAGTTGTGAAATGCCCCATCTCATGGCTTGCTCACCGGCGCCTGCCCCAGGCAGACATGAGAATTCCTAGGTGAATCCAGAACCCCGTTCCCCTAAGCTCCCTGCGGCACTCCCCCAGTCTCCCAGGCCCACCCCTGGGTCCGTCTTTTCTAGCAGCCAGAGCCCCAGTTGCGCTGAGTCCCGGACAGAGTGGACTTTGAGAGGGGCTCACGGAGTGGTGACTCTCGGTCCTGGGGGTGGACCCAACGTCACCTCTTCTCCCAGCGACTCTGATTCAGCCTCAGCACTGTGCAGCCCTCTTGGGGGCCAGGTCTGGCTGTGGTTGAGGAGTCCCCGCCAAGCCCGGACCTCCCGCACCAGAGGTGTGTCTTCTGGGCCAGGGATCGGGGCGAGCTTGGTCTCCGTGTCGTTCTTTATCCTGCTTTGCTCGCCGACCTCTCCAACAAACACTTTCATGTGGTCGCGTTGCTAATGTGATCCAGCTTCTGCCTGCCCCTGCCTCTTCTCTGCAAGAGTCTGCTGCTTCTAGCATTCAGAAAAAAAGCAAGTGTTTTCTCTCATATCCTTCCCACATTGTCTCCCCAAAGCTGCTCTTTGGGGTCCCTCTCATCATTTGGATTTGCTTTGCCAATGGCCACTCTCTGGAACTCTTGGTCGCTCTCCCCTTGAGAATGCACTGGCCCTGTCTGTGGGCGCAGGGGGAGGGGCTCTGCCTTTTCACTCTCTGCCTTGCTCCTGCCCAAAGCTCTATGGGGTAAGACTTTCTCCAATGAAGGATGGAAGTAATTGAAGGGAAAAGTAGCAGACGACGGGGCAGAGCTGCTGCATTCAGTTGTGTGCGTTGTATACTACTCAATTCTGGGCACCGATCACATTGGTAGTCGTTACAGATTAGTGCATTTAAGATGATAATTTTCTAGCAGATGGTAGCAAAACATCTAGAAGGGGCTAATTTTTTTTCTAATCCGCACGAGCTATCTTTTGAATTAGGGATGGGGCTGATTGGGAACAAAAATTTATATGTTAAATATTATTTTTTTCCCCCACGGCCCAAGGGAAATGAATGTCTTTCTCTCTTGATAACGTTTCTCCTTCCTTTTGGGAACTGCTTCTCCTCTACTCCAAGTACGTGATTCCGGTGGGGCTGCCGGTTACAGGACAGCCACCTTGCCCTGGCCACAGAGGTGGACGTGTTACCTAGCTTTGGCTAATCCTCTTGGCCTCAGTGGTTGGTCCAAAAGCTGGCCATGTAAGCTGAGGACGCCGATCTCAGTCCTCCCTGAAGATTTATATGTATCGAAACAACAAAGACAATTTGTGCCTCTATCGGGAACAGCCCGAGCAAAGCGCCCATTGATGGTCTCTCAGCTTGGCGCTTCCTCATCTGTACCAAGAAGCAGCACTGAAATTTCCCACTCGAATTCTTAAAAAGGGTCCTTTTCTCTCCTTTTCTGAGGGGAGAGCTCATTTTTTTGTGATCTTCAAAGACTGCACACTTCCTCTGAGTAAATTCCCTTGATTTTACAGAACTATTCCCTTGCTGATAGACACTGGGTCATGTCCAACTTTCGACTCTTAAAAATAACAGTGCGATGAACACATTTGATTAGAAATCTTCTTCCATGTTTAGCTTAGTCCCAGGAATAGATTTACCAAGGCACCAGGGGTGGGGACTTTGATTACATTTTGTCTTGAGATACTAAAGACAAAACAAAACAAAACAAAACAAAAGATGCAAATAAGAGTCTCCTTTGAGAAAAAAAAAAAAAAAGGAAAGGAAATAGGCGGAGTGTTCGATGCCTCGAAGAAAATAACAGGAGGCAGGTCAAGAAGAAGGACCCTCCCCTCCTCCGTGTTCGGCTGACGTTAGATCTTCTATAATAAGCCAAGTAGCTGTGGCAGGTAAGGATGTGGCTTTTCTTTCCTCAAATAGCAAAAGGTTCACGTTCCTTGGACAAAGATCTCTGACTGAATAGACGTTAGATAGGTTTCACCTCAGGCCTGACTTCCGATATGAGTGTCACATAGGGTTAACATGGAATCTTATATCTGAGATATTAAAATGATTATCTCTTCCTGCCTGTTTTCCGCAGCCCCCTCCAGCCTGCTCTGGGCTTCCTTTAGGGGGTGGCCTCCTTGCTGCCCCACCCCCCACCTCCAGCTTTGTCTCACTTTAATTCATTGATCGTTATATTCTTAGATGAATTTTCATCACTGTTCATTTTAGTATTTCGGTTCACCTAACGAATTTATCCTAGAGCTATTAAAATAGCTCTTTTTTTTTTCCAGGAGTTTTCAGCGGCCTGGGGACAGACATGGAGAAAGTGGGAGGTTGGTGTCTTAGTTTGGATTCCCCCCCCCAAAAAGCAGAGCCTGAGATAAGGATTTGGAGCAAGTAGTTTATCTGAAAACAAATTCCAGGAAGCACTGTGAAGAAGGGGGAAGTGACAGGAAGAGGAGACAGGCCACTAAACCGTGCGCACTTGAGCAGGCTGTCGCCTTGACGACTGGGGCACCAAGCCACGGGGATCGCTGAGAGACTGTGGGGAGGACCCCTCCGATTTGTCCCACTGAGGCCCGGAGGCTGGGGAGCTTACTAGCAACTCCTGTCCTTTAATGCTTCAGTATTGGTCCTGGGATGACTTCCGGCCTGCCTCACCTGTGGCCAGAAAATGTCCCCGGGGTGAAGAGACTGTAGGCGAGAGCAGGAACCAATGGCAGGAGACCCCTCCTCCGTAGTTGCTCCTCCATAGTTGCCCCCTCCCTCTCCCTCTCTCTCTCGACGCACACACGCACATGCACGCACGCACGCACATATATACGTGTGATTTTTAAAGCAGAAATCAGATCTTACTGTGCTTACTGATTGTTTTGCTCAACTCTTTTGGATATCATTCCACATCAACTCAGATCTTACTGTGCTTACTGATTGTTTTGCTCAAATCAACTCTTTTGGATATCATTCCACATCAATAGATACAGCTAGACCAAGGTTGTCAATGACTGAATAGTATTCCATTGGGAAGACACATCCCCATCAGACATTCGTTCTTGCTAATTCTGGTTGACACAAACAAAGATATGAGGAACGAGATGAATCTTCCTAAAACATGGCTGTGCACAGGTCGCCCCCTGATTCTTCTCCTGCTCAAAACCCGCCAAGAGCTCTCTATGACTCACGTGACAAAGACTTTCATACCTTGGCCTTGGAGTCTGACCTGTATCTGTCTGGGCTGCAGGGCCTCCTCTCTACCCAGGTCCTCCAGCACAGCCAGACAGTTTGACCCACTGGATCGTTACAGGCCCTGTCCATTCCTGCACTGCACCTTTGCTCAGGCTGTGTCCTCGGCCTGGGCCGCCCTCTCCCTGCCAGACTGCTTGGCCCCATCCCAAGGACTTCCACTTCCCTCCGGACTCCATCCCTCGCCGCCGGAGTCCGCTCTTCTTTATAATCTTTTCTTTGACGTCTCACCCGTGGGGGACTTTGCACAGTCTTGTATTTTTGTTCTCGTTTCATGGCTGCGTTTTCACTTCGTAACAAGTCTGGAACCGGTGAGAATACACTAGTGCGTCTCAGGGTTCAGAAGGATGCCTTCTACACACAGGCACCTCCTTGGTCAAGGTAGGGGGTGGTGAGCACAGGATTGGTTTTGTCTTTCGCCCTGGGTGAGGGTGGAGCTGGAAAGATGCACCTCTGTGCCCTTCCCACTCACTGGGGGCCTGTGACCACAGTGCCAGATCTCAGTTTGTTGATGGCTGTTGAGGCTGGAAGACCCACAAGGACAGCTAGTGCCCTGTCCACAGCCCCCCTCCCCCTGGAGGCAGTCCAAGGAAGGAAGGTGAGACTCCGGGCTCCCTCCCGCCTCCTGTGCCCCACTATGCCCAAAGGAGGGGCTCAAAGGAGGGGGTGGGAATGGTCTTTCTGATTTAAATAGCAGACCTTCAGGGAAGGGGGGCTGAATGAAAGTGGAGGTGGGGGAAGGGCAACTCAGGGGGTGCTAATCCCAGCTTCCTGTCTGGATTTTCCTTGACCGCTGCTCAGGGCCCATCTCAGGATGTTCACAGTTCCTGAAATAGATCTCTCCTCTCACCTGTTCTTAAGCAAATAAGACCTTGATAACTTCCTGTCAAAGAATGCATGCTTTGCTCATTTCTCCTGGATGAGGGACAATATTGGGCACTGCTGCTGACCTCCCTGGGCTTTTCCACCTCTGTCAAACAGCAGCTCACCTTGGTGGGGACCCAGGGAGCAAACCACGACTGATGGGGAGTCGAGGGACTAGCCACCTGTTTCTGGCCAGGGCCCAGCCTTTTCTGTGAACTTGGTTGGTGTTTCCTTTCTTGGTCTGCTCCAGAAACCACCCTTGGCTCACAGGAGAACCCCCTCTGACTCAGAGTGACAGGATCTTCCGTCCTCCTCGCTCACCTGCCCCTGGCCCCTGGCCTGCTCCTACAGAATTCTCTCTTTCTGCTTAACTCACCATCCTAATCAATTGAGCTTTGGTACCAGAAGAAAACTAAGTGTCTGAGTCAGGGCCGGCCTCCCCAGGCCCGGTACTGGGGATGCGCAAGCGTGGGAATTACCCTGAGGGATAAGATGTGACGCCCAGCCCCGCTCGGGGAAATTGGAGGTGGACATCCAGGAAAGAAACGGGCCTCCTGGGGGAGGAGGGTAGGTCCCGGGGACCCGCTGAACTCAGAGGTGGAGAGAGGAGAGCAGAAGGCGGAGACTTAATTAAAGCCAACGCTCCAGGTACCTGGAGCCTGGGCGGGACCTGCGCATGCGTGGGAGGCTTTGGCGTCGCCAGAGTTGTCAAGGTAACCCTGACCCAAGGAAGCCGGCCATGGCCTCCGGGACTGGAGGGAGCTGGAGTCCTCCTCCACCGCAGAGTGCAGCCACGACGGTAACGGCTGAACCAGGGAGCAGAGCCTGCCTTTACTGCGGAGGCCAGGGGGCGATGGCCGAGTTGGGGAGCCCTCTCTGGGATGGGGATATGAGAGCGACTTGGCAGGGAGCGGGGAGGCGGTGGGGCGGTGGGTTACTGAGACGACTCATGGGGGTGGGGTGGCAGCGGGGAGAGGTTGGGCCCCCACCTTTTCTCCTCCTGGCCTGGCTGAGTCTCCCCTTGCTCCCAGCCCTGGGTGACCGTCCTGCAGCCCCTCCCGTGGTCCGTCCTATCTCCACCTCCGCAGCCCAGCCGCGTGAAGGAAGGTGAGACTCCGGGCTCCCTCCCGCCTCCTGTGCCCCACTATGCCCAAGTAGATTCTCTAGGTGTCTGAGAAAAGGCCCTGAGGTCGGGGCAGAGGGCACGGGAGGCCTGGCATGGGTCTGCCGAGGGCCTGCTAAACTCCCGCCCCCTAGACCTGCTGGAGCTGATGATGCTGCAGACCGCGCAGATGCACCAGCTGCTGCTGAGTCGCCTGGTGGCAGCAGCGCTCAACCTCCAACCAGCCTCCCCTCTCCCACAGGTGCGAGGGCTGGGGATGGGAGGAGTGGACCACCGGGGCAGCCCACCTCCAGGTTCAGGGGTGGGCATCCATCTGGGGTTCCCTCTTGAGAAAGATGACACCACTGTACTCTGGGCCTGCAGGGGGCCTGATACTTATTAGGAGCCCAACTAATGTTTGTTGGGCGAAGGAATGGGTAAATGAATGACTACGAATACAAGGCGACTTTGGCTGTGACTGGCGCAGGAGAGGTACACCACCTGTGTGCTCACCTGGTTGGGAGATGAGGAGAAAGCTCCTTGGAAGAGCAGGTGGCCTTAAAATTAGCCCTTGAAAGCCAGATAGGATTTTGCACATTAGAAGCGGTGAGGGCTATGTCCACCATCCAGTTTGGCAAGAGCAGCGCTGCCCCTCAACCCCAGGCCCTCAGGGAGGCCCTGAGATGAGTACCCCACCTCACCGATGGAGCACAGGTGGCTCCAGGGCCTGGGAGCAAGGTCAAGGGCAGCTTGCTGGACTTCTGCCCCGGCTCTGGTGTCACACCTGGATTCTTCCAGTCCCTGTTCAGCCTCTTATTAGCTGGGTGACCTTAGCTAGGTTGCTCGACCTTTTGGAGCCTCACTTTTCCCACCTGCAAAATAAAGAATAAATGTCTCCACAGTGCCTTGCTTGCCTGTAGTAAAAGCTCAATAAACAGTAGCCATTTGATGATGAGTATCTGGAGAAATGATTCGGAGGAGCGGAGGAGTAGGGAGAACCTGGTACTGTATCACCACCTTCCTTCCGCTTTCTCATGATCCCAAGGTCTGCCCGGAAGGTCAGCAGGAGGAGCGTGGGGAGGAGGAGGAGCTGGAAGCCCCGGAGGAAGGGCCTTTGGTGCTCCACCACCACTACCTGCCCTGCCTGATGCCCGCTCCGGAGCCCCTGCGACCCTGGCCAGCGCTGTTTTCATCCCTTCCCCCATATCCGCCTCACTTGCAGGACACGTGCAGGATTCAGCACCGCCCTCCTGCCTCCTGGAGAAGGGGGGTGTAAGTGAGGTGGGAGGTCTGGGCACTGCCAGGGCCCTGCTCTGGGGCTGGGCTGAAAGAGCTGGCCTGAGGCTGGGGGTGGGGAGATATTTGTGGGTGAAACACCGGAGGCCACTTCTGATGGGGGTATTTCTTTTCTCACTTCCATTTCAGGAGAGCAGTGCCCCCTCCCCCACCCCCCAGCGCCACAGGGACTGTAGGTGCAGATGTGCCCCCGGCTTCAGGTAGGGGCAGGTTCGGTGGCAGTGAGGCCCAGGCCTAGAGATGGGTCAGAAGGCCAGGAGGATCATGTTCCCCTGGGGTGACTGTTACTGTCACCGCTGCAGGCAACTGGCCTGTCCCCACCCCTTTCTCTCCTTGGGGTCCACTGAGGCAGGAGGGAGTCAAGACTTGGGTGCTGTCTCCCCCCAGACTACTATGACGCCGAGAGCCTACTGTGAAGACAGACGCTGGCCCAGGGACCCACGCCAGCTTCACTGCAGGGCTAGAAACAGCCCCGGAGCCCCCCACATGCCCCCCGGGGCCTGCGGCCACGCCTTCTCTCAGCTCGGCCCCCAACCAGTCCCTCGCTTCCCTGTGAATCAGTCCCATCTCCACCCCACAAAGACTCTGAACCTGCCTCATTTCTTCTCTGGAGTAAGAAGCCACATGAAAGCCCCACTCTGCTCCACCGTTTCCTGCCTGGCTGTGGGGGGGCTGGGGACCTGAAAGCTCTCTCGACTTCCTCCCCTCCCCTCTCTCTGGGAAGATCGGAGGGCTGCAGGGGTCTCCGTCTGACCTAATAATAGGGTAGGAGGTGAGAGTACAGGACTGCTTTTGTTGTCCACAGCTCTCTAAAGGCCCAGAGTGAAGGGGGAGACTCCTGACCGGGAGGGTCCTGGAGCTGAGCCACTTCCATTGGGTCCCCATCCTCACCCTTGGAAGCCAGCTCTGTTGACCATGTCCTGCTCATACCAGAAGTGGCTTGAGTTCCCATAGGGCCACGTGGGAGCAGAGCATGTCTGCCCCACAGGGCCAGGGTCCATCTCCCCAGCCCTCCCTCAGGAGGAATTTGTCACTCAGGGCCCAGTGGGGGTGGGTGTCTGGTGCCCGGGGTGGTCAGCACGGGGGTACCCCAGGGTCTGGAAGGCCCCTGCAAAGGAGTGGGTGGAGGGTTACTGAGGAGACATTTGGGGAGAAAAGTCCAGGCCTGATGGGTCACCTTCCCGGCCATTGAGTGTTCTCCTAGGAGGAGACATTGAGGCATGAGGTTAAGTCCAGGTATTTGTATTCACATTAGAAAAAGAAATATTCCCAAAAGTCCTACTGCTTGCCACAGTCCTTCAGCCAGGGCTGGACTCAAACCCTGAGGAGCTCCAGAGGCTGCTGTGGTGGTGGACACACCGCTCATGTAGGTTGGGCCCAGGTCCGTCTCAGGATCCTCCAAGCTTCTTGCACCCTGTAGGTCCTTCTCCGTCTCTGGTGCCACTGCTGGCCGAAGATAAAGCACAGCAGGACAGATGTCACAAACAAGAACAGCAGTACTGACACAACCGTGATGAGGACCATCTGGTTGTCCTGCATGGGCTCTGGGGAAGGAGGGGGCAATGGTCTTAGAAGTCCTCTGGGCCTAGATGCCAGGCCCCCAGGGGTGGTGGAGGCTCATCCGTCACCCACCCAGCCCTTGTCCATCCTGCAGTCACACTGTGTCATGCAGGTGAGTAGCAAGTGGTGTATTATCTAGGGGAAAGGCAAGCTGGGGTCCAGGCCACCAGCCAGGCCTCTGTGAGACTGTGAGGGCAGATGTCAGCATGTGGTTGCCATTGGCTAACCAGGACAATGGCATGGACTAGGCCAACCCCTCTCTGGACAGAGCTGAGCAAGCTTCTCCCAAACTCCCTGAAGACAGGGGACACTTTGGCTGTTAAGAGTCAGGACAGGGGAGCTCCAGGGGACCTTAGGGTCAATCAAGTCAAACTTTTCATTGTAGAGAGGAGCTGAGGCCAGAGAGAGGAGGTCGACTTGGTCAAGGTCACACAGCTCACTAATTGTCAAACAAGTAGTCCAGGTCCACGCTAGGGACTCGGAAGCTGGTGACTTGGAGGAAGCTTCAGGGAACAGGGAGTGTAAGAGGGAGCCCTCTGGACTAAATGTGGGGCCCCAGGGTGCCTACGCCTTGAGCTGGCAGAGAGTAGGCTAAGGTTTTGATTTCCCTCTGTCTGGCGGGGGCTCCCCCTCACCGTAGACCTGGAGCGCCTGGGCCTCTGAGACTCTGCGAATGACGTCCCCACCGAGAGAGCGCAGGTCCAGCTCAGCTCGGCAAGAGAAGTTGTGGTGGCCGTCCTCCTTGTGCGCCGTGGCGTTGTGTGTGGCTGTGGCCTCTTGGGGGTCATCCTTTCCACTCCCAAAGGTCTGGGTGTGCAGGGGCTTCTTGCCATGGAGCAGGGTGAGGGTGAGTTTCTCGAGGGGTGCCACAGCAGGCACGCTGCACACAATGGTGAAGGGCCTGCCCACAGTCACCCAAGCAGGCTGCAGCTCGAGCAGCACTTGCTCTGGAGGGTCTGCAGGGGAGAAAGTGGGCGGTCTGGTCAGGATGGGGGTGTCGTCCCAACAAGCCTAGGCAGCCAGGACCATCCCGTCACCACAGTGTTCTTAGGTCCCTGGCTGGGCTCGTGGAAGAAGAAGTAGGCTGGGCCTGGCTTGCTCTAGAGTGTGAGGAGGAAGGAGGGGGACATACTGGGTGGTCGCTTTATGGACGTGATGGTTTCCGGAATGGAGGTGGTCAGGTGTCTACAAAGAGACGGTCTAGAAACTGTCCAACGAACCCGGAAGATATAAATGTTTGGATCTGTCTTCTTTCTCTCCAGAAATGAAAAACGACTTTTCAAAAATTAAACAGTTGGATAATTACATTCAGAGAGACTTAAAAGAAAGTGCTCATTGGAACTGAGCCATGCGCTGTGAGGTGTTCACGTGAGAGGTGGGGGCTGGAGTCAGACCTGCTTAGTTCTCCAGGATCAAGTTCACAGCCGTGTTGATCATGTATCAAACAGGGCCCTCGGTGGTGCCCCGCATTCCCCTTTGAACTAGAATACCATGCCTCCATCACCCCAGGATAATATGTTGGGACATCTTTCTATTCATTGGATCCACTGACGTCAGTCATGGGGAGGACCCAAGCGGTACCCTTGACGCCGAGATGCTGAGAGAATCCCGGCCTATGCAGAAGTGTCTCCATGGCTTGTGGGCAGGTGTGCGTGTGAGGGCCCCATGTTTGCCAAGGGCTCTCAGGGCAAGATAAAAGCACCTAGTGACTCCTTGGCCTTCTCTCAACGAGGCCAAGGGACCACCAGCGTGTGTGCCAGCCCTCCTGATGGTGCCCCTGCTACTTGTCACGGGACAGGGGGTGTTCCAGTAACCCAGCTGCTCCTGAGCTGGGCGGAGCCTGTGAGCACAGAGCGGGAAAGCCCTTTTAGATCCATGTTAACCATGCCGGCTCACCCTCCTCTGAGCGGACCTCAAAACCAGGGTCGCCGGCAAGTTCACAGAGGCCAGGGAAGGGTATGAGCACATCCTGAGCCCATGGCCTAGGTCCTGTTCCTTGTCACCCCAGGAGCCCAGGGAGGTGGGGGCCGTGACAGAGGTGCCCAGGTGCAGTAATGGCAGCTTTGCGCCCATGCGGCAGACACGGGCTCTGCCCAGAGGAAGGGGGACCCAGTGTGTGGCACTCACGGAACACACGGACGCTGATAGTGTTTGACATCTGTTTCCCAGAGCAGGTGAAGTGGCAATACATGACCGTGTCCTGGGAGACGTTCAAGACCAGGAACTCTGTCCACTGAGCATGCTTCTGCAGCTCGACCTTGTTCAGGGTGGTCTCCAGACCTATGATCTGAGGGTGGGGACAGCTGCTAGTGCAGTTGACCTTATAGGGTTCTCCGCGTTTCACTGTCGCCTGCTCCGGCTGCAGCGGCGCCTTCTCACCAGACCCTGGAAGACCGAAGACGCTGGGCAGCAGACGTCCCTGCTGCCCTGCCCGGTGAAGCTGCCCACCACTCATAGTCCGATCAAGGAAGAGGAGCCCAAGAAGAAAGGCCAAGGATGGTTCTGCTCCTCGACCCGTGACCCTCGTTCAGGCCTCACAGTCTTACATCGAGACCGAGGAGGCTGGCCCCGGGCTGTCTCCCTGTCTCTGGTGGCCCTTCCTCCGGCCCATCACCTCCAGATTAGTCTTCCTCACGCATATCCTCTCTCTCCATGGAGAGGGATCCTACTTGACCTTCAAAGCCTAGGCCTAAGGTGCCCTCCTCTATGAAGGCCACTCGGAGTTGGAGGTGGACTGCGTCTTCTGAGCCCCCTGTGGCCCTGGATTCAACCTTTCCCTCCCTTCCCTCCTCAGATACTTTTAAAACACCTGCTGTGTGCCAGGCACTGTCCTAGGCTCGGCAGTAGTGAACAAAGCAGACCGAACTTTGACTTTGCCGAGCTCATAGTCTAGGAAGAGACAGATAATAACGATCAAGTGAAATATCCAGCCTGTTAGCTGGTGGTCAGTGCCTGGGAAAGGACATAGGGAGTGGCTTGGGGTCGCCATTTAACATAGAGTGGTCAGCGAAGGCCTCCTGAAATCATGACAGTAAGCAGACATGAGGGAGGTGGGGGCGAGCCCTGCGGATATCTGGGGGAGAGTGTTCCGGGGAGAGGGAACCGCCAGCTTAAACACCCTGGGGTGGGGGAGTGTGCTCGGTGTCTTTGAGGAATAGCTCAGCGAGGAAAAAGGCAGGGGGGAGGAGGTCAGAAAAGAAGTGGTACCACCTGCGTAGGACCCGTGGCCCTAGTGGTTCGTATTCGTGTTGACTCTCCCTTAGCGGCTTTGGAGGGTCTAGAAGGCAGGGCCTTGTCTCCCATCGTGCTTAGCACAATGCCCTCTGTGTGACAGACATCCAGGAGGTCTTTGATACACGAAGATTGAGCCCTCAGCACTGACCTCCCACTCAGCGATGATCCCAGCCAGCTGGGCGCAGCCTGTGTCCTGTGCTAGCACCACACCTACATGTCCCCACTCAGTCCTCGGGGCTTTGCAGGCAGACAGAGCTGGATTTGAATCCTGGGTTCATCATGTGCCAGCTACGTGACCTCAGGCAAGGTGCCTTCTCTCAGTTTCCTCGCCGGTGACATGGGCTAGCAGCCCCTTCGCCACCATGACGTTGTGGGAAGTGTGATGAGACAACCCGTTGAAAGCACCTGGCAGGTTATTTTAAAACAGCGCCAGGCGCGTGCTGGCATTTTCCCTCACAGTCCCCTTGGCCCACTGGAAGGCTCATTTTCACTCGGAAGAAAGCCAGACGGTGAGTCCTCTGCTGCCCCCTGCTGTCCCCCAGGCCACATCTGAAAACCTGCTGAGGCATGCCCTCCCCTTCCCTGGAACCTCAGCATCCCACCATTTCGCCTCCACGACCGTGCACACACACACACACACACACACACACACACACACACACAAGCGCAAGCGCGCGCCATGAAGCTGTGGGGCCAGTTCAACCTGATGTCCAAAAGGCCAGGATGCCCACCCCATGCCCAGGGTCACAGGGAAGCCAGGCTGGCGCAGCGTCTTGTTCTCACGGCAGGTGGCCTCTGTGTTCAAAGCCTCAGAGACTTCAGGGCCAGCACCCCTCACCCCCACCCAAAGCCAAGGAAGCAGGCGGCCCACCCTCTGAGCTGGCACGTGCCAAGTCAGGAACCGCAGGCACTAGCTTACCTGGGCAGTAGAGCAGGGCGAGGAGGGCTGCGGGCAGGCCCCAGAAACCAAAAGGGGACATCTCAAGTGACGTTCTCGTTCTCAGGGGACAGCTGAGGGCCGCCTGGAGAGAGATGGAGGGTACAGGTCAGGGAGCGACAGCCTGGAGCAGCAGCCCGGAACCTCCCGCCTCCTGTGAGCCGATGACCACATTTCCTCTCATTATCTGAGCAGCCCTAGGGAAGCCACGTAGGCGGTGGGCTCCCAGGGCTCCAGGCCCACAACAATCCAGGCAGAGGAACCTGGGGAGCTGCTGATAAGCAGCCATAACCTAATCCTCCTGGCACGCTCCTTCCTGTACAGGAACAGGGCAGTGTGGGTGCCCACGTATGGACAAGCGTGCACATACGTGTGAGCGACGTGCACTGTGTGGGCACAGAGGACAGTGATGTGTATAAGCCCCAGATCTGGAGAACCCCAAGATCTCACAGGATACAATCTTGGGGTGCCCTCTGGGCAGAGAATATCCGGTCAGGACCTGTCCAGGATACGGGTCACCATAGCCAAACAGGTAGAGAGTGGGGCTTTTCCTGGAAAACCTGGGTGGGAATTGGAGGTACTCCAGCCAACCGCCGAGCACAAGTTTGCTTAAAACTTAACACCCGGCTCAGCTTTCACCCTCAACCTGTCTGACTCAGCTGATACAGGATGTCTTGCTGTCTAGAGCCTCAGGAAGTGCTCCCACAATAATCCCTGGCAGCCCAGGCCCAGAAGTAATAGTCATCCAAATCGCCAGCCTCCATTCTGGGGCCTGACTTACAGGGTCTCCTTGCCACCTGCTCCAGGCAGGGAGCCTTGGTCTGGGGGTTAGCGCCTGACAAGTTGCATTGCTTCTAGGAGGTTCCATCACGTGTTGCTGGTATCTCCAGGAGCAGTGAGCAGATGAGAAGGGGAATCTGATGGTGGGGAGGGCCTCGCTAGGGGGCTTTTGATCCCGACACATTCAGCCTTCTAATGCTCCAGTGATGGCTAAGAGCCCCCTGGGACCAGGGAACCTGGGAGACGGGGGACAGGGGCAGGCCTTCTTGCTTCCTCAGGGGTACCCCAGATGGGGCCTTTCCAAAGGGACACCCCAGTGTTTTTAGAGCTCAGGACAAACCTTGTCCCCAGGTTGGGAGGGTGGGGTACAGTCTTGCCCTTCTCTTTGGCTGCTGAGGTCAAAGACTGTTAGCATTCTGTGTCATTGTCAAGGGCTGCCCTTTCCAGCCTAGGCCCAGAGAAGTCCCTGACAGGCTGCCGGACTTCCAAATGATGCAGAAGAAGGATGCAGAAAGAAGAAGAGGGAGAAGAAGCTGGAGCCGAAGCCCAGCCCGGGGATCCATCGCACGTGGGGCTGCAGGAAACACCCCTCCAGCCCCAGCTAGAGGTTGAAGGGTGGCCCCGGGGCTCGGACAGCCATCGCTGCCCAGGTGGCAACTCTGTGGTCCCCACTGGGTCTGAATAATAATAACAATAACTACAAAAAATAATAATAATACAAGAACAAACATTTACTGAGTACGGGTGATAAGCACTTGATAAATGTCTACTAATTAATCCCCCAACTCTATAAAGTAGGTACTGTTACTGTCCCCATCTTACAGATGGGGAAATTGAGGCACAGAGCGATTAAGTGATTTCTTCAAGGTCACATACCTAGGAGACGGCCGAAGTAGGGGCAAGAGAAGGTTTCTTGGGGGCTAGCTTCCCAGGAGACCCACAGGAGGGAAATGCAAGGCAGCAGAAGGCCAGAGAAATTGCTGGGGACTTCCTTGCTACGAGGGTCTTGGGAATGGTGGGTGGTTTATGCACAGAGAGCTCCAAACGGTTTCTGATAGGGACAGTGCCTGTGAACCCCAGCCATACACGGAGCTGGGCCAGCCTCACTCCAACTCCTGGGTACCAGTGAGGCTTCTGGGGCCCACGGGTCCTGCCCTGAGCCTGCCAGGTCCTGCTCCCACCCACCAACTCCTCCTTTGATCTCTCCTCCATGCCCCCGGGCAGGCCCTCCCTGACGGGGCACACCAGGCATGTGAACACGGCTTTGTGAGACATGGAGACTGCATTCTTACACGGCAGTCTTCCCTCCCTCCCCACCGGCCTGTCCATCCATTAGGGCAGAAGCCAAATCACATGCACTGCTATATTCACCAGGATATGACACTGCCTGGCACATAGTAAGTGCTTAATAACGGTTTAATTGGTAGACAGATGGATGAGTAGATTAGCAAATTAAGAAATAGCTCTGGTAAACAACACAAACAACCTTGGATGAGGGCCTTTCTTTTAGGTCCGCTCAGCATATCTTTCTCCTTCTGTTGATGTCTCTGCTGGCCCCCCCGCCCCCTAGCTGGGCTGGCAGCATAAACATGGACAATCATGGTCCCTTAGTCGAGGAAGACGGGTATTAGGAGTTAGGCCTGGACAGGGTTTTTCTTGGGTCCTTCTAAAATAGAGCTGGCAGGAAAAAGAGCCTTCCCTTTCCGGTCCTAAATAGCAGATGCCCATGGGGCAGGCCCTGGGAGTGAAGAAGCTGACAAAAAGACAGCTCGGTGGTGGAAGGAAGGTGATCCACGCCTGTCACAGATAATGTGCTGTCTGGGGGGTGAGGTGAGGTGGGCTCTGGTGAGTGGGAGGCTGGGTTGAGTGGCTGTCAATGATTCTGTGCTGAAATGAAAGAGCTTTCTAGGCTGGACATCAGTGGAAGGTTCTGGCCCTTCGAACCTGCTCATGGGAGTCAAGGCTAGATGTAGGTCATGGTAGAAGGGGAGTTTCTGCACATGCGTACAGGACAGCAAGTAGCTGGGGCACCAGAGGGAATTACGGCCTCTGGAAGATATGAGAACATTTGAGGGGAGGGAAGGTTGGAGCCTCAGTTTAGGCAATGAACTCATCTCTTCCACAGGGATGACTAAGTCTCAATCCAGCGACTTTTGTCTATCACTTATATTCCTATTGAAAGAAAACAACCATCAGCCTAGAACTGTGTTCCCAGTAAAACCATGTTTCAAGAAGCAAGGCGAAATAAGATACAGATGAACAAAAACTGAAAGGGCTTATCTTCAAGACCCCTACGCTAAAGGGATTTTTAAAGACATGTGTCAGGTAGAATTAAAAATGATCACAGGACACTTCTCTATGCGAGAAGGAAGGATGAGAAGAGAAAATGGCAATCATTGTCCGCAATCCTATTTATAATATTTATTTGAGAAGTTTTAAAGAGTTCAAAATTAAAACGCTGGGCAGTAATATATGAGAGAAGATTAGAGCTAAAATATTCTAGATTCCTTGTGTTGTTTAGAAGGGAGGATGCATTTTAAGTTATGCGAGCATGGCAAAATTTCAAGGAACATCAGCAAAGGTAGAGTATATAAATTCTAAACCACCACAGAGGGTTAAAACGGTATATATTAAAAAAACCTTTCAATCAATCAAATAATTAAATAAGGAGAAAAGGGAGAGAGAAAGTGGGGCAAATGTAAATTTTTAAAAAGATAGTATTAAAAAGTCCAAATTTATTGATAATCATAATAAAGAGGAAAATGTTAACTATAGTTAAAAGACAGGGATTGTCAGATTTTTTGAAACGTTTTAAAACCCCACACATATCTGGTAATGTAAAAACCCATGGGTCAAAGAAAAATAGTAATAACACATTGTAAAATTCTTAGAATTGAGTGATAATGAAAAAAAAACGTATTAAAATTTATGGGCTACATCGAACGTGGTACTTAGAGGGAAATTTATAGCCTTGAAAGCTTATATCAGAAAAGAGTCTGAAATAAGTATCCAGTTTAAGTAAGTACTCCAGAAGTTAGAAAAAAAGAACAGTAAAATAAACCGAAAAGTGACACAAAAGGAAATAAAGATAATACGAGAAGAAATCAAACAAACAAAGTACACAAAACGATGTACACCCAAAAGGAAACTCAAGGATAATAAAGAGAGGAGATCAATAACATAGAAAACAAAAGATATGGTAGACGGGATCAATAAAACCTAAAGTTAATTCCCTGAAAAAACTAATAGAATGGGCACATCTCTGATAAAATTTATTTATAAACAAAAGAAAGCACAAATAAATGTTATTAGGAATGAAAACAGGAACATACTACGAGATAAAAAAGACGTTAAAAGTTCACGGGAACAGAAAGTACACAGGTGGTTGCCATGGTCTGGGGGGAGGGGAAACAAAGAATTGTTATTTTGTGGGTAGAGTTTCCGTTTTGTATGAAATAGTTCCAGAGATGGGCTGCAAAGCAATGTACTGAAAACACAACCAACTACTGATATCAGACAAAGTTGATTTTTAACCACAAAAATACGAGGGATAGAGTGAATACTGAAATTAAAGGGTCAGTTAACCAGGATGTTATAATAGTTCTAAACTTGTAAGCATCTAGGTTCAAGAACTATAAAGAGATAAAACCACCATCGTGGCAAGAAATTTTAATATTCATTTATGAACTATGTATAATGAAGCAGACAAAAAATAGTTAAGATGGTACACTTGATATGTATTTTACATTGAAAAGAAAAAAAGACTATAAATAATTTATGTCAAGATATATGAAAGTAGATCAAATATTAGAAAAATATAATTTACCAAACTTAAGAAGGAATAAAAAGCCCAAATGGTTCTATAGCTATTAAAAAAAATGGATCAGTAATTTAAAATCTTCCCACAAAGAAAATACCCGGTCCAGATAGTTTTACAGAAGTTTAAGTAGAGATAATTCTAATTTTATAAAAGCTCTTTCTGAGAATGTAAAAAGCAGGAACACTCTCTAACTCTTTCTATGAGGCCAGTATAAATTTCATAACAAAGTGAGATAACTACAGGATGAGAAAGAAAAGTCAAGAAGCCAATCTCACTCATGCAACATTATAAGAAAAATACTAGCAACTCAAATCTAGCAGTATATAAAAATATATATAAGATATCACATCTAAGTGGAGCTTATCTCAGGCTTGCAAAGGTGGTTTCATGATAGAAAACCCACAATATCATTTATTACACTGGCGATGGTAAACTTTGGTGCTCTATGTCGCATTGCTTCTGCCCGCTTCTGATAGCACCTGTACTTACAGTGGATAATTTCATGCAAACTCAGACTCACCTTATGCTGCCAATGTCCCACCTCAAGTTTGTATCATGTTTCTTTCTGCCTCACAGTGGTTTACAAGTGTGGGAAAGTTGTCTAATTTGCATCTCTCAATCCATGAGGGGACAGGAACTGGTGGATACACATTCCAGCCTCCTTCTTTCCCGTGGGCAATTCCGGGTGGCATCTTGTAGGTTTACCAGAGGTCCCAGTAGAACTGAGTTCCTCCTGCCTACAGCTGCGTCATCAGACGTGCACATTTAAATTGGCTTTTCCTTTTTTTTTCAGTCTCCCTGATCCTTCAGGTGCTGCTTCCTGGAATCACCTGTTAAATAACCCACCTGTCCCTTGTCCTTGCTCCAGGCTCTGCTTTTGAAGGAGCTCGAACTAAAAACTTATATTAACAGATTTAAGAAGAAAAAACATGATCATCTCAACAGACGAGGAAAGAAATTGACATTCAAAATCCTTTCATGGTATAAGCTCTTAGCAAATTAGAAGGAAACATCCTTAACCTGATAAAGAGAGCTTACAAAAAAGCTTACATATATTATTTTTAATGAGTAAATCTCAGGAGCATTTTCTTTAAAATCAGGAACAAGACAAGGATGCACAGTATCTCTGCTTCTATTAAACATTGTACCAGAGGTCCTGAACAGTGCAGTAAGAAAAAAAAATTAAAGGCCTAAGGATGGGGAAAGAGCAAAACCATAAATATTTTCATATGATATAATTACCTATGTAGAAAATCTAAAAGAATGATCAGACAAATGATTCAAAATAATAAGAGATTTTGGCAAGGCAGCTAGCTATAAAATCAATATCTGCAAATAAGTTGCTTTCGTGTATATCAGTAACATACTAAAATATAATTTAAAAAACACCATTTATAATGGCACAAAAATAGGAATAAACCTAGAAAAACATGTATAAAACCTATAGTAAGAAGTTATAAAACCCTATTGAAAGGCATTGCATACGATCTAAACAAATGGAGAGGGAGCCTGTGTTCACGAATAGGAAATTCGATGCTAGAAAGATGCCATTCTCTCCTCACTGAACTACAGATTCAGTGCAATTCCAATTCATCCACTGGGATTTTTTTCATGAAAATTGAAAGCTGATTTTAAAATATAGATGAAAGAGCAAAAGGGCGAAGGTACCCCTAAAGAATAATAAGGTGAAGGGATTTGCTGTACTAGATATGAAGACGTTCTAAATTACGTTATTAGTGTAGGTGTCGGCAAATTAACCAATGCAACAGAATAAAGAGCCCAGAAATAACTTGTATAAAGCTCTGACACATGACAAAGGTAGCCTTGTAGATCATTGGGTGAAGAAAGGTCTATTAAATACATGATACTCAATCAACTGGTTAACTATATGGAGGAAAAGGGAGGGAATATATCCCGACCTCAGACCGAATGTAGACACCAATTCCATGTAGATTAAGGACTTATATGTGAAAGAACGCTTTAAAAACTATTATAAGAAAATACAGTATTTTGTCTTTGGGGCAGGAAAGGATTTCTTAAGCAAGACCCCAAAATCATCAATCATAAAATAAACAATTGACAGTTTTGACTACATTAAAGACACATGTGAACATTTCAAAGAAAAGGAAACATGTCTAAATAAATGAAAAGATGATTTAACTCAATACTAGCCTGGGAAATTAAAATTAAAACAACAATGGGATACCATTTGATATCGACCAGACTGGTAAAAGTGAAAAAAATCTAACAAGAATCAAATATTGGAAAGGTTACAGGTGAATAGGAATTCGTATAATTGCTGGTGAGAGGGTATATTAGCCCTCTGGGACAGGGGTCACCAACTCTGGGGCCATGGACCCCTAACTGGTGTGGCTTGTTAGAAACCGGGCGACACAGCAGGAGATGAGCGGCAGGTGAACAAGAGAGCGAAGCTTCATCTGGATTTGCAGCCGCTCCCCAGCGCTAGCATCACCGCCTCAACTCCACCTATCTCATAGCATCAGGCATGAGGTTCTCATAGGTGCACGAGTCTCTGGTGCCAAAAACGTTGGAGACCGCTGGCTCTGGGCGATAACCAGGCGTTATCTTGAAAAGCTGAATACGCTTACATCCGATAACCCACATTTCCACTCTCAGATATATGCCCTAGGGGAACTTTTGCACTAAGAACTAGACGACATATCCTGTGCTTACCTCTTACAATTTGTGTGACTTTGAGCAAGTCACTTAGTTTCTCTGTGTCTGTTTCCTCTTCTGTAATATGGGATTAATAACAGTACCTTCCTCGCAGGTTGTTGTGTGGATTAAACAAATTAAATGAGTTAACGTTTTTAAGTATTTAAAACAATGCCTAGCACACAGTAAATGTTATATAAATGTTATATATACTTATAAAATAAGTATGCATATGAGATAAAGCACTTAAAAAAAATCAAGAGAACAATAAACACAATTGGAAGGGTGGTTACGTCTGGGTGGGAAGTGAATAGCACAAAAGTAGATGCAAGGTTTAGTGATATTTCATTCTTGTGTTGAGTGGTGGGTTCAGGGCTGTTCGTGATATTACCATGCTGTAGACAATGGACACGCATGTTACATATGTGTACATGCATGTGCCACATAGCAAATTTCACAGAAAGATTACAAAGGGAAAAGAGAAATTCCTACGTGTCTAGAAAGAAGAGGAGGCTCCGTGGCAATGTGAGCTATCGTTTAGGAAAGTCCCCCTGTACCTGGGAGGGATGATTTCACTGAGTGTCATCATGAGCCCCAGAGGCAGTCCCCAAAGAATGGGGACTGTTCTTTCCCCTGCGTATCAGCTCCAGCCCGGATCAGATGGCCCAGGTCACACGCACATGGGCTCATAGACAAAAAAGGCAGCCCCACACTTCTAAATCTGTCACCTGGACCACAGAGCAAGGGAGGAAGCAAGAGGACAAAAACAGGAAAGAATGACAAAAGCAAGGCCCATGGCTTCAGAGACAGGATCTCTGAGGAGCTGGGAACATCCAGCCAGGAGGATGCAGATTTGGGATCTGCAGCCCCGGTGCTTACCAGAGGGACACTGAGGTCTACAGAGGAAGGGATTAGAACTCAGATCTTGACACTCTGTCCCAAATCCTTTCCACTCTGCCAAGAGGGAGAGGAGAACTGTGGTCTTACCGGTCATCTGCTAAAGGGAATGACCGCATTGGGGGAGGAGGGGTAGGCAGGGGTCGAGCTCACCTCAAGAAGTGAAAGCCAGATGAGGAGCTGCCGGGCTGGCTGCCGGGCTGTGACACTACCGGGTGCTACTGGTGTTAGGTCCGGCGTCTCTCTCTCTCCCACGACTCCGAGGTCACATGCTTCCTCTGTTCTGCTCTCATCTCAAACTAACCTCAGTTTCGGTTCACACCCTCTTTTCTTTTTAATTGTGATAAAATATACACAACATAAAATGTCAGCACTTTCACCACTGTTAGTGTACGGTTCTGTGGCATTAAGTACATTTACGTTGTGGTGCAACCATCCCCACCGTCCTCTCCAGAACTTTTTTCTCTTCCCCGAATGATTCTATTCTCATTAAGCAGTCACTTCCCAGGCCACCTCCCCCCAGGCCCTGGTCACCGCTGTTCTGCTTTCTGTCTCTATGAATGTGACTCCTCTAGGAGCCTCGCGGAAGTGGGGTCATACAGGATTTGTCCTGTTGTGACTGGTTTATTTTGCTGAGCATGATTTCTCAAGGCTAATCCATGTTGTAGCATCTGTCAGCATTTCCTTCCTTTTTAAGGCTGAATAACATTCCATTATATGGACAGATCACGCCTTGTGTATCTCCTTCCATCAACTTGGGTTGCTTCCACCTTCTCGCTACTCCAGATAATGCGGCCATGAACACGGCTGTGCAATATGTCTTCAAGTCCCCACTGTCATCGCCTTAGGGTATACACACAGGAGTGGAATGGCTGAGTCACGTGGTAGTTCTATGTTTAATTTTTTTTTTGTCTTGTGAATGTTTTTCTTAGGATGTAAGGGATGGGCTGGGAAATGTCACTGTAGGTGGTTGTGTCCATTCTAAGCTCCCTGGGATGGCTTCTGGAGTTTTTTCTTTTTCTTGGAGCTGCTGCTCTTGCTGCCAGCAGCTCCTTCAGGTCCACTGCTGAGCAGCTCCTCCTTAAAAGAGAATGTCCTCTTTTCTTTGCGGATATTCCTATTACCCGCCTCTTCAGGCTCACTACCTGGTTCCTCTTTGGGGAAAGATTTCTTCCTCTTGGGGAGACTTCCACTGCCAGGTGTTTCTTCTAAATCACTACTAATCAGCTCCTCCTTGGAAAAAGATTTCTTTTTCTTGGGTTCGGCTAAAGAGACAGATGAGTCTTCCATTCCATTCTCCTGATGAGCCTCCTGGATGGAGCTTTGGCTTTTCTTCTTTTGGGGTCTTTCACTCATCACCTCACACTCCTCTGGCGTACTACTGCTGATTTCTGGAGATGCAAGAGCAATGGCAGCCAACCGTTTTTTGGTTTTTGTTTTTTTTCTTCTTCAAGCGTTTCTTCTCCTGTTTCTCCAGCTTCCTAATAATTTCGGCAGCCACTTCCTCTGCCTGAACCATGACCTCTAGATTCCTTTGTGGAATCTCTCCAGTCTCAGAGAAGGAGAGCCCCGCCTCAACTCGTTCTCGAAGCTTCTTCCCAAATACAGAGAAGCAACCAGTTCAAGAGGCAATATTGCATTTGTTTGCCAGGTATCGAGAGATACGGCCTTTGTTCTTGGCAGCTGCTCGGCCAGTGAAGGTGGAGTGGAATGTGAGTCTATATTTTGGGGTGTTACCCCTTGTCTTCGGGGCTCTGGAAACTCGGTCCCTTTGCTGGGCCTTGGGAATCACTCAGACACTAGGATTGGCCATCTCCCCATAGCAGAGGCCTGTGTAGATCAGGAAGCCCTGGTCAGCCATCACTGTGACTACATTTAATTTTTTGAGGAGCCGCCACGCCATTTTCCTCTACTCTCTCTTTTGATATGCTTTTTCTGCACTACCGGGGACCTTAGGTAAATGAGATAGTTCCAGGGTAAGCCACCTGTTGTCCCCCTGCAGAAGGCTCGTCAACAGCACAGAGCTGAGTCTTCCCTATATTTGACATGCCCCATCACGAAAACCTTCTACGTGCGACTAAGAACCATTGCTTTCTCAGATCTTTTTACATCTGCCACCTCTTCTAGTAATTAAGAAGAAGAAGAAGAAGAAAAAAACTACCATAGCAGAGTGACTTTGTACCAATAGGCAGAAAGTATGAAAGCTAAGTGCAGAGGCAGGTTCTGGGCAGCCAGCCAAGCTCACCCACAAGTAGGGGATCTTGCTCCCCAGGCCAGCCCCACAGCACATTCTGTTTAAACTCCTAGCTTATCGAGGTCACAGATTAGGTCATATCAGGAACCAACAGTACAGTCAAGGCCATAAACGCGCAGCATCTGTTGGCCTAGAACAATCTCTCTTGATACTTCCTATGTTTTACTATCTTCACAGAAGGTCTCTTTGGAACCTTCCTGTCATACTGCTGGCTAAACAAAATCAATATAGAATGTCGGGGCCTTGGAGGGCATCGGGGCCCAAGGCTCTGAGGGGCCCATGTAACTTTAACGTTTTTTTAAAAAAACTTTATTTAAACTAGTTTCAAGTACACAGTACATTGGTTAGACATCTATATAATTCATTAAACGGTCCCCTCAATTGCTCTCTCCCCACCCGGCCCTCCACCTAGCTATCATATTAATGCTAACTGCATTCCCTCTGCCATGCTCCCCATCCCTGTGACCAATTGTCAACTACTAATTTATACTTCTTCATCCCATTCTCCCAGCCCCCCAAACCCCCTTCCCTCTGTTTGACAGACAGAGGGGAGATCAAGGGCAAGGGTGTTGTCGTTCTCCTTTCACATTGCAAACAATATTACCCTCCACCTGGAAGTCCGAGCCTGATTGCAGCCCAGATGTGAAGCCCCCAAAGCCGTCTCTAATAGGGCAGGGCTCCCATTCTTCACTGAAGGGCAGAACTGTCTGTGCAGCTTTTAGCAGCAGAGGTGCTGGACCCACCCAGAACCATTCAATTATAACCCCGTGCGTCTGCTTTCAAAGCCACACAGACAGTTCTGATGCATCACTTGAACTAGAACCCCCTCTCCGACCTCCCCTCTTCCTCCTCCCTCTGTTTTGTGGCTTCTGGACAGATTGCTTTTTGTGCCTATTTCCTTTTCTTTGCTAAGTTTCTGGCGCACCCCCAGAGCACAATGAAAAAATGTTTACTGGACTTAATTAAGCCAGCACCTCGTTTTTATGAGACATGTGTTTTGCAGCAAATGTACTCAAACTTTAGTGTACGTTGGCATCGCTAAAGGGCCCCACCCCAGAGTTTTTGATTCAGCAAGTCTGGGGTGAGGCCTGAGAACTTGTATTCTTAGCAAGTTCCCAGGTGATGCTGATGCTTCTGGTCCTGGGACCACACTCTATTAGCAAGAATGAGAGAGTGTTCTCAATTTAAATAAAGTCAAGGTAATCACAACTACAAGAAGAAACCAGAGATATGGAGTCAAAATGCTGACTGGGCGCTTGGAAGCCTAGTGCTTCATAGGGCAAGCTATAAGCTCATTGGCCTGATGGAGGCCAGACTGAATGACGAAGATCGTGGGGTCAGTCTGAGGTAGTGGTGTTACAAAGACCTTTGCGTGAATCTCTGCTCAGCCCCACTGCCAGCCATGTGACCTTGGTCAAGTTGTTTAACTTCTCTGAGCTTCAGTTTGCTCATCTGCAAAATGGGATAATAACACAGCATGAGCCAACGTTTCTGTCGTGCTTAGAATGCATGCACGTCAAGCTGAATGCTGGTGAGTAGTAACTGAGCAGGCACGCAGCAGCAAGAGGCTGAGCAGAGATTAGATCTAAGCTCTAAGGCCCTCTTGCCCACCTCAGGGTCCCCTGCAAAGAGCTTCTGGGAGGAATAAATGCTTGGTTTGTAAAACATTGACTCAGGACTGGATACACGGTGAGCACTCAACCAAACTTACGGTGGTTGTTACTACTGGTGCCTGAACATGCACCTATATGCGTCCTTGTAGGCTGTGCTCAAGGACACCTAGTATGTGTCTTGGCTGTTGAATGAATTCACAGAATGTCAAACTCCAAGATCATCCCCATACAGGGAGGCGCCTCTATGTAATGTTATATGTTAATCCTTCAATGAGAAAAGTTTGTGAACATGCGTTACTTAGAAAAACTACCGGCTCATGAAAGACATATAGTTGCTTATAAAGCCAGGCCCTTTGGCCTTCGTTTTGGATCCCAGCCTCATCTCCTGTGGAGCCACCCTATGGAATAGAAGGGGAAGAAGGCGCAGCCCTGCCTGGGATCCAGGTGATCACAGGACACGGTGGGACCAGGAGGAACAGAGGCTGCACGCCGGCGCCATCTTGTGGCCAAAATGAGCCAACGTCCTGCCACCCAGTCTAAAAAGCATGACTATTACATTCCCCAGGCCATGTGGCAGTGGTAGGTGACATTCCTCTATAATCACAAGTAGGTTAGAAATGAGCTGGGATCCTGAGAGACTGTTTTTTAAGGAGGGTGATCTAGGTAGATGCAGCAAATTTGTCCATAAACATCCAACCGCCAAAGAACCGAGGGAGGGAGAGGCTGAGAGGGTTTCTCACAGAGGGAGTGCTGTCTCTCTGAAAAATGTGGATGTCGAGGTAGCTTCCTGTTTCTTCCTTTAACCTTTACTGCAAGAGAGAGAATAGACTGAGATGCTTTACTAGGAACTGAGATGGGAAACCGAACTATTTCCTTAGGAAAAACGCTGAAGGCGGCCCTTTGGATTGTAAAAGCAAAGGCAAAATCTGAGAGATATGTGGGGTTATTTTTTGTTATTTTTTGCTTTTTTCTTTTTAACTGTGAAGCTGTTCTCTTTTGGGGCCTGAATGTTAGATTAATAAATATTTGAATATAGTTACAAATTAGCTTTTAAAAATTGATTAGATACTACTAGATGCTTATGATTTTTAAATAGTTCTACTTGTATAATCTTTCTGTGAATATAACCATTAGAGTGTGTGTCCAGGGTCAGAGGTGACCGCTGCTGGGTCCAGCCCCAGTGGTGGTGATGGGGACTTATCAGACGAGTTTTGAGGCTTGAATCTGGCTTTCCTTTCCCCCCACCTCTGCACAGCTTCTCCAGCTGTAATGAGGCCAACCAGCCAGGGGCAGGTTCTGTCAATAACAGAGAACAGTCTCAGTTCCTCTGTTGGCCTCAGAGGCCAACAGGGTCAAGGCCCCAGTAACTTCGCAGGGCCCCATGCTACTCCTGGCTTCTGAGCCACTTCCGTATGTTCCAGTCAGAAAGAGAAGGCGAGTT